TACTCACATGGTTCTTGGCAGGATTCAATTGTTAGTGGGCTTTGGAAAATAGGATAACAAGCTTGTTCTATGTCCTTCAATCAATGTCCCCACAAGTATTTTCATTAGACCAATCTGGTGACTGAGTACAGAATGGATTGAAAGTGAAAAGAAAGAGGGCTAGGAAGCTCTTTGAAAATTGTTTTTTAGTCCACCTATATGTCTGGCACAATACAAAGTACTGAGACTACAAAGATGCTTACGCTTCTTTGTTCTCGAGAAGCAGGATGACAGCCACATTCCAGGTGACAGGTGGCAAAGCCTGAATTAGAGTAGTCGATGGGGAGGTAAAGATGAAGGGAGAGAGACAAGGAACTAATGATAACATGGTGAGACAAGAACAGGTGGATCCAATGGGAATAAGAGGAAAGAAAATGGTGCCAGGCATCCAAAGCAGTCTGGGAGCGTGAGGGTCCTCCAGAGGACAGCTGGCCTGCCTTCTAGTGCCAAGCCTTTTACATATTTCTAATTGCTGTCACAACTCTTCAAAGAAGGTCTTATTATTCCCATTTTGCAGATGAAGAAATAGACTCACTGAAGTTGAGCAATTTGCCCAAGGCCACACAACTAAGAAGTGCCAAGCAGAAAAAATCTAACAACTGGCAGTGGCTTTGAGAATTTGCTCTCCCAGGGTCAAGTTTACTTAACAAGGTCAGCATCTTAGCCTCAGAGAAGGAAACACCACTGAAGAAATTCTGGGAATCACCTAGAAGGAGAGAAGAAAGCCTATGAGCGGGAGAATTTCTTAGCCCTTCTTTGTCATTACCCCATGAGTTGTCTCTTTTGATCACTCAGAAAGCTCTCTCCACCTTGTTAAATTAATTCTATTGCTCTCTGTCTATACCTTGACTCAGAATTCCTCAGGCACAGTCTGTAAAAAAATCCTTTTTTTTTTTTTTAACTGGGTGATTTAATAATACAGTCAACTCCAGGTAGAGAGCAGTCCAGAGCAAGGACTTCCTTCCTTCCTTGAAGAATTTCTTCCCTAGGCTGAGGGTGGTACTTTACCCTTGATGGTGACTGCTAGTTTCCAAATGGCTGACCAGCCGCACGCTCAGCATCATCTAGAATAAAGCCAACCCATGTGAGAGGTGAGAGAAGCAAAATGGGAACCCTTTCTCCTCGGGTGTGGCTGTTAGACTGTCATCCCCAAGAAGAAATCATTCTTTTAAAACCTAATAACATTAATATTTTATCTGATGATAAGTATCATGTCCATGCATTATGAAAACTGTGGGAAAAAAACAAAAATAAAAATTTCTCATTATCCGACAAGGATGAAATGTAACAATCAAATGAGAATCTTTTATTAAGATCTGACGATAGCATTGTGTGCTCATCTGTGCGTGTGTGTTTGCACAAGCCACCCAAGTCTGCTTGTCTGCAAATCCAGGGGAGTAACTGCTGGGCTTGTGGATTGTATAAAGATGATTGCAAGCCCATCAAAGAGAGCTTTTGTTTGTATGCAACTCATGTGAGAGTGAATATTCCATAACTTCTTGTGTATAATGCAAGGAAGAAAGCCTGAAATGACGCCTATTGGCCAACATACAGATCATGCTCCATTGTCTTACAATATTTTCTCTGCATTGCTTCTTAAAACATTTTTCATATTACATGCCCCATCTCATATCACATTAACCCAAATAAAAATGTCATCATCCATTCAGTGCAACAGACAGCAAGCAGAGCATGGTAGAAAATTACAATCATGCCCGTCAGCCACAAAGCATTCTAGTTACAAGCTCGTAGAGGAACCAAGGCTGGGCAGTGGGTCCAGCCCCCCTTTGCACTGTTCAGCATATGACTGGATTGAGTATGGGTGGACGCCTCTTTATGCAGAGGGCGTGCTTCTGAAGAGTTGAGTATAAATCTAATTTTATGTTGCACACCATTTTTGTTACATTAAGGGAGCTGTAAGCTTGATATCTAAAAAGACTTCCTTTCGAACAGCATTTTTCTTTTTTTACCACGTTCTTATTCCTCTGAAATAAATCAAAGAGAAATTTTGGTATATGGGATTTTATTAAAATAGAGTTCACTTGTACCACTAAGTCTATTAAAATAATGGAAGGATATAGCCAGCGAAGGCAGTCGCAGAAATGTGGATGAGATAGTAGAGTTCTCCAAACACGAAGGTAGTCTAAGATTTTTTGAGAGTGATGGCCCAGAGGCCACTAAAAGTGACCCATTTACACGCACTTTTGTACTGAGAGATTAGTAAATTGACAGTGGGTGAACATTTAGAAAAGAATGCAGTTGTCATGAAGAGTCCACCCAGAGTCACGAAGAATAAATCAGGATAGCGATTCTCATCCCTGTTTTGAGCGGACTTCAGGATAGGCATATGAGGGGAATTCCATTCCTATTTTGGCAAATCATTTGACAAACTTACCCGGCCAGCTTATTGATCAGTTGCTGCCTGGCTGAATATTTACTAGGTTCACGCACAGCTGGCCAAAGAGCCAGAAACCGAGATGACTGACCAATTCTGTAGCTACCTAAAGCAGCACTCTAGTGGAGGGCCACAGGCTCTGTGTTTGCTCCTGGATAAACACTGACAAACCGAACGAAGGCTTAGAAGGCACACTTACCAAATCTCAGATGGAACAAGAAGGAATCACCAATGTTACAGGAGATGAGATGTGAATGTGTGAATACAGCCCGTGGCCCACCTACACTGAGTACAAGCCCTCTGGTGCTCTCAGCCCTTGAAGCTGGATGAGCAGAAAGTCCTTTTTCTCAGAATTTTCCTCTCCAGGTGCTTCTTCCGGAAGTCTTGGCAACAAGGACGAATCTCAGATGCTCTGCCATCTCTCCACGGAGTGCGGGGCTGTACCCTGCTCTGAATGTCTGCTCCTTGACCTGCCCTTAGGTGCTGCCCAGGCCACTGTCCCCACTCTGGAAACTCACATGGCCCTGAGCTTAGCCTACAGCTCACTCTTACTCACCAGGGGTGTCCTTCTGCTTCTCAGCACCATCTCCTCCAGGGAGGGCTCCCACAGCAAACAGCTGGGCCCCTGGTATCACAGTTCTGTCCTTACACTCCAGAACACATGGGGTGACTAGCAGACCTACAGGAGGGAGGGGTCCAACAAAGCCATGTGTCCCTCCAACATCTGGCCAACAGCCACCCAGGCTGTCCCGCTGTGCCAGGCTTCTCCAATCACCTGAATGTTTGAGGGCAGTTAAAAGACTGTCCTGCTCAGAACACATGGCAGGACAACTTTTTACAGCAATAAATGTAACGTAAATATAAAGCTTTTCTAATGAATGGAGTCTGAAGTGTCAAAAACTCAATTGCATATGGTGATGATTTGTGGAAAAAGACCTTGTAACTTTTGTTGACCCGAACCTCCATATTTGCCTGTCCTACGTGTCTTCTCTAGAAGTCCGCATACACCTGGGCTTGTGATTGGCAGGCAGGGAAGTGATCCAATTACGATTCGTGGGATCTTACCTGAAATATTGCGTTCCATTTATGGAGCTGCCTTTTAGGAGTAACACTGATGAGAGAGCGAGCGAGTGATAAGAATGGAGAAGTGTGCGCAGACCGTGTTGCACGAGGAGCGGTTGAAGGGACGGGGACAATTGTCTAGAAGATGAGGAGGAGCAGTGCTTGCTGTCGGAGTATTTGAAGCACCACCACATGGAAGAAGTCAACTGAAACCAGTGAGAGGTTGTTAGAGGGGCCAGATTTTGGCCTCAGCACAACATACCTTCTAACAAGTAGATTAACATCCTATAACTTTCCCTAAAGCCTCCAGACTTTTAAAGGCAAAGACTGGGTCTTCAGTATTCATTCAAATTCATTCCCTCGTTCAACAAATAAGTACTATGTGCTAGACATCGTTCTAGGTTCTGTGGACATAAAAATGAACAAAAAGACAGAGACAAAAAGACAAAAATCTTCCCTGCGCTCAGGAAGTCACATTCTAGTGTCAAAATCGTAAAATCTGAACATATTTAACATTTCGAAAATGTTTTCCATAAGAAATGCTCAGAACAATGTTATGGCATGTTGCTTTAGCTACGGTGTCATTCTAGAACAGACACTGGTTAGAAGGATTCCCCTCGATGTTTCCGACTTGGCTTTGCAAACATACAGGAGGAAATAGAAGATCACATGGGTGGCCATCAGGCTCCGCAAAGAATCCCACCCACTTGAGCCAGCCTGCTGGGGTCAGAGTGGCGGCAGCCAAAAATGAGATCCAAACTTGATGAAGCTGGACAATAATTACATGAATGTTCACGATACCATTCTCTCTGTGTGTGCATATGCTAGACGTTTTCCATAATGAAAATATTTTAATATAAAAAAAAGAAATTCAGCAATTTTTCTGGGTGGGCATGGAAGGCGTCTTGAAGTCAAGGGTTCCCTTACATGTACGTATTCAGAGGTTTAAGCAGCTGAAGCAGAAATGAATAGCCACCCCTCAGAAATGCTCTACAAGTGATTTTTGTATTGAGTAAAAAGTTGAAATGGACGACCTTACGTTCCTTTGGAGACTACGATTCTATATTCTAGCAGAAGACCTAAAGTATAATTGGAACCAAGCAAACATGGATTTGGGCTAATTCCAGAGAGAGTACATATGGATTGTGGTCTGTTTACTCTCTAATGCTAACCAAATGTCATGAAACCAAGTACTGATTCTCATTTCTGTCTAAGCACTTAATGATCATTTTTGTAATTATTTCACAGTATTTACTCTAAATCCTTTCTTCTTTTTGCTTCCAAAAGAACAGATTGTGTAAGCTAAAACAGACGTTTACAGCTATTGTATTTTATGATATTTGTGAATTTCAGACCCTCCCCTTGAGTCTTAGCTGCATGAAAGTTACCTTGAAAACAAGGTCTGTTTTCCCAGGAAGCGCCACACATAACCTCTTTATCTGCAGCTAATTTAGGTGTGCTCCCTGCATGGTGTCCTAATTACCCCTTTGTTATCTGCTATCAGATGATGCCCCTAATCAGCCAAGCCTGCGATCTGCTCCTGGCTCACTTAAAACGCTATGCGGAATCTGGGGACGCTTTCGACATCCAGAGGTAAGGGTGCTACGTGGATACAGGACAGATGAGAAATCGTGCTTTTGAATTGCTGCTTCTTGTAACTGTACATAATTGCTGGACAATTACCTCGGGACCAGCAAACTGGAAATGCTAGAAGCTCATAAAAAGCATGGGTGGACTGAATAATAAGAAATGAAATCCACGTAAAATGTGAAGAGCATGTGAACAAAGCCCAGGGTAGGTGTGACATGGTGAGGGAAGCCTTGAGTGGGGAGTGTGGTGTGTGGGTGGACACGCCCTCTGACCTCTGCAGATGCAGGAGGGGGCAGAGAGGACAGGGTTCTGGCGGGGGGCGGGTGCTGGTGGCGGGGAAAGTCCATGCATTTTTACTGCAAGAAGAATTGTGCTCCTCAGACTAGAAGCCATTACTTAGCGGTGGACACCAAATTTAAATGGCTGATTATCTGGCTTCCCCTCCAGTTGTCCTAGGCTAAGTTATGGCTTACAGCACAGGAGTAGGGTGAGCGAGGCAGGTCAGCCAGAAGCCGACTCGTTCCTATTATCATTGCTAATAAAGTAATAACATAACCATCACCAGCATTCAAATTCTGCCGTGGTGTTTACAAAATCCTCGCACACACTTTGCTCTCTGGTCATGAGCCGTGTGAGCTGGCTAAAGAGCAACTACGAAAGCAAAGTAAATAACTTAAAAACCCTGAATTCTTGGGCCGCTAGGATCAGAAGCAATCACATTCAGTAGGCAAACTGTTTTCGCTCTAGTGGGACATGTGTAATCAATTGTAGGAATGTTTTCAATAAAGCAGTCAAAATAAAAGACGTCGTCTGGAGACGTCTTTTATTCCTTAACGATAAGCTGGTGGTGATAGAACCTGGAAGGAAAGGAGCTCCGTGTGTGCCCCCCCGTCGAGCCACAAAAATAAGAACTTTTCGTTATAAGAGGATATGCATACCCCGTTGGTAGCTTTTTTTAGAAATAACTTCACCTGACTGCTCCCGCAAGATACCAAAATGGCCCTTCGAGGGCAGGTTTCCTGGAGCCGAAGAGGTTAATTTTTCTGGAGCTATTGCCAGACACTTTTCCTTCTGTTTGTTTCTAAAGTGCAACGCGTGTTTCCTGTAATAATATACATATGTTCATGAAGCTGGTCCCAAAGTTTGTCTTGTATTTATTCGAGTGTGAAGGGCCCTTGTTTTTGGTTTGTTACTCTTAGAAAAACTGTACAATCATTAGGAGGAAGAGGGGGACAAAGCTTATAAAACTAGACAACCAGGATGCCAATTCATCAGTCCCAACTTGCTCTGTATCAATTAACCACTCGATCCTGGCTTTGGACGGACTCTGCACAGCTTTGGGACGGTACAGCATGGGCTTTGGGTCATCTGTTTCCCTCCTCCACGGGGAGGAAGGTTTAGAGCATACTTCTGGGAATTTGACGGTGGCTGGTTGATTCAGGCTGCCCGAAGCCTGAGAGCCGAGGAAGTGATGCTCTCCTCGCCTCCCCAGTCTTCGTTGGCATCAGCCATCCGAGATGTTTTTGTGTCTCCTCTGGAATTCTGTTGCCATGCTCAAAGGATCCCATCCCGGGGCCGGGGGGGTGGGGGGGCTCCTCTCCCGCCCCCTCACTTCAGCTCTGCAGGGAGCTTCCCTTTCCAGCAGGTAGACGGTGGAGCGGTGCCTCTTTAGGAGCGTGCACGATGGCGAGGCCAGTGGCAGAGTCCTTCCCTAACCCAAATGGCTCCCTCTCCCACAGGTGTTACACCTGCTACACCACGGATGTGGTTGCCAGTGTCGCCTTTGGCACCCAGGTGGACTCCCGAAGGGCCCCCGAGCACCCCTTTGTGATGCACTGCAGGCGCTTCTTTGCATTCTCCATCCCCAGGCCTGTCCTGGTCCTGATCTGTAAGTACAGCTCCTGCCCGGGGCGGTAAGACCGGGGTCGGGCAAGCTGGCCGGGCCCCATGCCTGCGGGGTGGGCCCAGCAGCTCTCGGGGCTCAGCCCCCAGCACGAGCAAGGGGCACTCGAGGGGTCTCTGAGAGTCGCCCTGCAGGGTCCACCCCGCAGAGGCCTCATGCTCCTGGAACCAGCCGGGGCCACTCATTACCAAGGCGGGTAGCGCGGGCCTCTCTTGCCACTGCCGCAGGGAGGACCGTGCTGGGCACTTTGCTCGCGCTGCCTCATCCCCACTTTGCAGATGAGAAAACTGAAGCTTAGGAAGGCAGAGCTAAGGGGCGCCTGGGTGGCTCAGTCGTTAAGCGTCTGCCTTCCGCTCAGGTCATGATCCCAGGGCGGGGATCGAGCCCCGCGTCGGGCTCCCTGCTCGGCAGGAGGCCTGCTTCTCCCTCTCCCACTCCCCCTGCTTGTGTTCCCTCTCTCGCTGTGTCTCTCTCTGTGTCAAATAAATAAATAAAATCTTAAAAAAAAAAAAAAAGGCAGAGCCAAGATGGGAGTCCAAAGCCTGTCATTTTCTTATTTATCTATTTATGTATTTATTTATTTGAGAGAGAGCAAGTGAGCAAGAGAGAGAGAGCACGAGAGCAGGGTGAGGGGCAGAGAGAGAAGCAGACTCCCCGCTGAGCAGGGAGTCCGATGCGGGACTCGATCCCAGGACCCTGGGATCATGACCCGAGCCAAAGGCAGACGCTTAACCGACTGAGCCACCTAGGCACCCCCAAAGCCTTTCATTTTCTACAACATATTCCTCCCCTCCAGCAAAATCCTCTTCAGAAGTCTTCTCCGCTGGAAGCCCGGCGCACAGCAAACTAGAAATCATAAGTGAAGGGTGACTGGCAGGTTACCTAATGCCGTGGGGACGGGTCGATTTATTTTATTTTTATTTCAGAAGTGAGTTTTTGCCCTCTGGCCAATTCCGGCACCTTCTTGCTTTTATGGAAGTATTGAAGTGTTGCTATTGCTGTTATTGATTATTGCCCTAACTTCTAACCTTTCTGCTGGGCTGCTAAATTGTATTCATTCCTTGGTCAGTTTCGTTCCCATTTGTGAGCCCATTTCTGTGGAAGTCCCCAGCACCTGCATCAGCTCCTCACTGAAATTGTAGGAGGGGTCGCCAAGGGGGTCAAAGCAGCCTCCCTTTTGTCCTTCACCCCAGCCACCCCCTGGGAGCCGCTCCCCCGAGTCAGCTCCACCTGCCATGGACCACGGACACGGACACAGACACGCCCTACGGTGGGCGGCTCCGCTGTCCCGCCCCAGCTACCCCTCCTCTCTCGGCCACTCTGAGCCCACCTCCCTGCTGCACCACAGTGGTTTGGACTCTGGCTCTTGAAAATGGGCAGAGTGTTCTGGGAGCTCCGAGGGTCCAGAACTACCCTCCCGATCCAGGTTCCCATGCAGTGCTGTGCACGGTGGGCCCACTGTCCATGCTGGGAAGCTGAGCTGACCTGAGGCCCCCTGCAGCAGCTCAGCCCCTCGACCTAGACGCTGCTCCCCGAGAGGATAAGTGTCCCTGGCCCGGGGAGCCCCGCCAAGCCCGTGCCAGCAGCGGCCTGGGCAGCTCTTAGGGACCGTTCCGGTGGTAGCTCCGGGGACAGTGACCCCGTGCGAAACAAATGCAAATGGCCGGAAAGTTAAGAAAGTAGATGAGCTTCCACCCCTTGCTCAGATGGGAAACGTGGCCCATCATCTGTCCTTTCTTGATGGAATACGAAGACCTTGGGCCCTCCTATCTGGGACCTGGAAAACTAATTTCTAAGTATGAGATTGACTTCCTGGGGGCGAGAGGGAAGTGCGGATTCAATTGCGCAGGCACGTATGGAGTGCTTACAACGTGCAAGGGACAGTGAGGCGTGGGGAGGTGGAATCAGGCACGGGCCCTATGGGAAAGCTCGGACCGAGGGGAGCCCCCCTTGCCTTCAGGTGACTCTAAGTCAAGGCCGGGGTCTGCCTCCCGGGCAACAGGCATTGGATAGCTCCGGGTTACTGCTGCCCTGTTTTCAGCGTAGCTTTTGTTTTTCTCTTTCAAGTATCATTTCCATCCATAATGGTCCCACTGGCCCGGATTTTGCCCAATAAGAACCGAGATGAACTGAATGGCTTTTTTAACAAACTCATTAGGAATGTGATTGCCTTGCGGGACCAGCAAGCGGCAGAAGAGGTAAGGGATCTTAATAGGACACGGCGTGGAAACGGAACGGGGCCTAATGTGGCACCGCGCTCTCTTCTCTGTCTCTTGCCTCCCAGCCCCGCACACCACAGCACGCTGGCCTTCAGCAGCCACCGCTTAGAGCTTTCCAGGGCGCTTGAAGGAAAGGAGAAGGGGTGAGGAGGGGCGAACATGGAAGAGAAAGGTGAGGACGGTTGGGGTGGGGGGGGCGGGGGGGGGACGGTAGAGAGAAGCCCAGAGCAAATTGTCCACATTTTGACATGGACGCCCCCCCAAATTCATGGCCTCTCTATTTCAAGCACCGGCAACATCAGCCCCAAAGAATTTTCTAGGTAAATGTGCCAACATGGACTTTTCATCAGCATATTCTTTCTACTGAAAGTCGGCAAGGTGGAGTTTTACAGCTTGAAGAGCGTCAGCAGTAGGGAGGAGCCTGGGCAGCGGGCAATTAACCCCCCACTGGCTTTCGGCATGGAGGATGTGGCTACAAAATTTGGGGCGGAGGGCTCGCTCGTGTGTCATCCGAGACTCAGAGATTTCTTTCCTCCTTAAAGATTTGCACCATGTTTGGTGCATAGTGGGAATCCAGGAAATATTTGTTGTTTGAACTTGGCTGAGAACAGAAATAGGACTTTTCAGGGTTTGGAAAATAATTTCACTGTTGGATACACTCATGCATGTGTAATGCTATTCTTTAAGGGCCTCACTGCATTCAAGAAAGTTGCTTCAAAAGGAAAAAACAGGGCTAAAATGTCTTCTCAGGAATTGACTTGTGCGAGCTTTGAGAGAGTAGCTTCAAAGACTGGCTCAGAGGGATTAACAAGGGACGCCGTGAGATCCCGTAGTTGCGCCAATGGGCCCAGAATGAGATCGGGGGGGGTCAATTAGTGGCTGGATGCACCAGCAGCAGCCTCGTCCAGCCTGGCTTCCCCCTCTGGAGACTGGGAAGCAAAGGTGTCCCTGTTCAGAAGGCAGGGCAAGGTGTATAGAAGCTCCCGGCCCCTTGGCGCACACACCATCGTGAACTCCACTCGATGCCCTTGGAGGTGTGGGAAGAATCCCCTCACTGGTATCCCTGGCCCGGCTCTGCCACCTAAAAGGGCAGAATGTTCTCATCCGGGTTCCTGCGTCTCCAGAATGAGGATGAAGCCTGGGGAAGGAGCGGTGAGGAAAGCTGCATTTTCAAAACCTCAGCATTGCTCTGAAGGGCTTCCCGATGACAGTTTTCTCACACACACCCCCGCCCCTCACCCAGCCTGAAACCCACAGGCTGTGGAATCAGGCTGAAAATTCTAAAACTGTTGCGCCGAATGGCTTACTAAGAGGTGAGGGGTTTATTAAAGATCCAATTACTAGGATTGCCTCGAGCTCTTCCTTTTATAAACTCGAGAGCTGTTTGTTTCAAACAATGAGCTGATCTGAGAAAAACCTCCCAACCACAAATCCAGGACTGCCCGTGTCAAGACAGAGCTATATGGTTACTAAGAAAACTTGCTTTAAACCCATCTAAACTCTGTAGACATTCCATCAAGCAGATGTGTGTTTGCGCAGTGGAAAATGCAGCACAGATGTTAAAAGGTAAATATTTTTCTAAGCTCTAGCCGATGGGTGGATTAGACACCTACATCTATCAGGGTGCGTACTTTTCTTGGGTATAACCATTATAACCATAAAGCCGCTCTGTTTCGGTCCTAAATGGGCAGTGTTCAAATACCGTCGCTGATGCAGTGCAAATACAAGAAACGCATCTACACTAATGCTCTTCTCTGGCGCCCAGGCCCCAGAGAGCAGCCCTTTCAGCCGGCCTTGGTAGCTGGAGGTGAAAACAGATTTCTGCCATGCCCGATGGCCCTCTAGCAGCCTGTCTGAGCAGGGATGAGGGGAAAGGGTGCCAGCCCCCGCTCTACCACTGGAAAAAGCCGCCGGAGCTCTGCCGCCCGCCATCGTCCCCGTCCCCCTCCAGCAAAACACCGGGGAGCCGGAGGGACAACTCCGTGGTGCCCCGAGGAGATTAACACTCCCCCAGCTGACAGGCCTGGCAATGCTCACCCAGGAGCCAAAGTAACAGAAGGTACTCCGCTCACACATGGTGCCCTGCCCTGTCCCGACTCTGGCCCCTGGGACCAGGGCTGGCAGTGGAGCCCCAAGAGCCGCCCCAATGTTGGCCAAGCATCAGGAGCGAATAGGGGGAAAGCCAGCCCTTGAGGAGGCCGCCTGGAAATCGGAGCGAGCAGGGCCGGGGTGGCAAGAGACAACCAACTGTGGCTCAGCTGAGCCGGCCGGCAGGATACCGAGGCCTTCGCTCCCGAGACGCAACGTTCTTGAGGCCCACAGGCTTAGCTGCGAGAACCTGCTGGAATCTCAGGTGATGTCCTGCAAGGTCACAGAAGCTGGGAGGCAGTCAAGCTACAAAGGCCTCATACCCCAAGGCTCCCGCCCCAAATAGTGTGCGCTCGTAAGCAAATCCAACACAGCCTTTCTCAAAACGCGTTTACTGCGTCACATTGTTCTTCGCGGGGTTGTTTATCACAGGCCTAACAGGTGCTCAGCACCACACCAGGCCAGGGGTGGGCCACACGGTCCTGCCCTGGACGTGTTTATACGCTCATGGAGGAGAAAAAGCAACAACACGTAACAACAATCTTACGAGATGGGATTCAGTGCTGACGTGTGGGCCATCGATTATTAATGCGATAGAAATTCAGAAGCCAATGAATTGAGCACACGCCACACCAAGTAAAGGACTTTGAAATCACAATCTGTTTCTGCTGGTGGTTCTGACACCCTCCCTTTCCTGGTCTGGTCCCATAAACTTCAGAAAAGAGTAACATACTGGTTGTCACTCATCACATTAACACGCTTTTCGAAGAAGGGATATGCGGGGGGTACACTTTGTCAATGTGAAAGCAAGACGTAAAGCTTCTATTGTTACAATTAGTGGTAGTGAAAAACATAAAGAATATGCAAATTGCTGATAAGGAAGGTAGGGGAAGACGGTAAGAAAGCTCTAAGCACTTAAATGGGGTAGGGGATCAGTGGGGGAAAAGGGACCCGAGGGTGGGGGTGGTCTTTGAAGACAAGCTTCCCCAAGGAGCAGCTCTGTCAGCTTCCTACTTAGTGTGGGGGAAGTGTGTGGCCACCCGTCCGAGCCCTGAACGGTGCATAAGGGAACAAGGGAGCACACGCTTTGGTTTAAATCTGTATGACGTTTTAATTGTTTTATTGTTGGAAAACCAAGCAGCCAACCAACAGTTCAAACATGTATAAAGTAAAAAAAAAAAAAAAAATCAAAGCCCCCCCCGCGCCCGGTTTTCCCACCTCCTCCAGCTCACTGTGAGCCTCCGGGTATAGATGTTGCTACACATTTTCTATGCATGAACAAATACGTGTAATTATATATATTATAATAATATTATATATATTGCACGCTTTTACAGAAATGAGATTCCACTGTGTGTATTGTTCTGCAACGTGCTCTATTTTTTCTTTCCCAAAATGGCTTAACATGTTTCCCAATCAGCCCAGATAGAAGGGCCTCATCCTTTTTAATGGCAGCGTCACCCTCTGCGGTTTGCTGCACCAAAGTCTGAGAACCAGTGCCGTGTAAGGGAATTCGGGGCTGCCAGGTTCTCGCCATCTCAGAGAAGCCCGCGGTGAGGGTGCTGGTTCCCATCAGGCTCAAGCCCATTAAAGGCTATGCGTGCAGGTCTTCTTCTTCTGAGCTCCAAGAAATCTCACTCGTGTGACTCAAAGGCTGGAATGGGTATTTTTCCTTCTGTCCCGTAGAGGCGGAGAGATTTCCTCCAACTGATCCTGGATGCCCGACATTCTGCCACCTCTGTGGGGGTGGACAGCTTTGATATGGTCAGACAAATCTTCTCCTCCACCGACTGTGCCGCGGGTCCCTCCCAGCCACACCAGCCCGGCCGCCTGTCCAAGCCACTGACTGTGGACGAGGTTGTAGGCCAGGCCTTCATCTTCCTCATCGCTGGCTACGAGATCATCACCAACACGCTCTCTTTTGCCACCTACCTCCTGGCCACCAACCCTGACTGCCAAGAGAAGCTTCTGACAGAGGTGGACGGCTTTAATGAGAAATACGTGAGTACAGTCATCCATGCGAAATCCGCAGGACACATGATTTTGTGTTGGTAGAAGTGAAACTTAATGATATTGATAACTTCCTCGCGAAAACCACATTCTAAGTTTATAAGATGAAATTGGGCTGTTTTGCACACATTCTCCACCTCTCTGGGTTAGGAAGTAAAAGGACGTGTTCAGAACAACAGAAAAAAAGAAAAAAGAAAGAAAAGAAGGTGTCTTGTACATATACTTCACCGTCTGGGGCCTTCCGTGAAACCAGGCCTGGCTCGGGAGGCTCAAAGTCTTAGCTGCAAGTGAGGGAGTGAGGGTCACGGGGCAGGGACTGGAAGGAGGTGTGGTTTCCCAGGGCTCTGGCTGTGGAGTCAGCACTCTCTCTGCGGGGCAGGTGTGAGGCAGGAAAGGGAACCGAGTCCTAACTTGCAGGAGCAGACAGATGGATGGGCCAAGCCAAAGCAGGAATGAGGACGAGGGCTGTAAATGGAGTGAGGTGAGATGGGGCTGGTCAGCGCTGAGTCTAGATTCTGGATATTCCTTCTAGATGAGCCTCCTCTTTGGAGAATTTGAAGCAAACTTTCAGGGGTGCTGAGCGAGGCAACTTTAAGACCTCATATTTTTCCAGATGCTTTTGTGTGTATTGCTTTGACTTACTAGTTGTTAAAATCATTTTTAAAATCTGTGCTTTTAAAGGGAAGACCACCCTAAGAGACTTTTTTCTATTCCATTCTGATATAATTATTACACTCACAATTTGGGGGAGGTGGCCTGTTGTTAGAATCCTTAGAAACATTTTTTTAGATATTGAGCTGAAAACTGCTTTCCAGAAAATTCTAGTTCTTTATCCCACTGGGGAAGTAGATGTAAGGTCAGCCTTTCTTCACCAAGGCATTTTTCAAATATTTTGTTATTTCAAATATTTGACCACTTCATTAACTGTGTTCCTAATTGCCTCAACTTCGGGCTCATGACGAGCTTATAGTCCACTTCAAGTTCCACACTGTTGTGACATCTGCCAAGCCAGGTCTCCACCATCCACTGCATATACAATTGATTTTTTTGAGCCTAGATGCAAGAGTTTGTGTTTATCCTTATTATTGCTCAAGTCAGTCAAAATAATTTTGAATCTTGATTTTGCCATCTGTCATATTAGCAATTCTTCCAGCTCTGTGTCATCTGAGACTTGCTAAGCATGCCTCCAGTTCCATCCAAGTCATGGATTAAAATGTTGAACAGAACAGGGCTTCCCTCCAGGTTGACATTGATCCATTAATCAATATTCTTTGGGCATGGAGTCTCCATAAGCCATGCATCCAAATAACCCTACTACCTATTCCCACCACCCACCTTATCCTGTTTCATGGGTAATTGTGGTGTTTGTCTGTTTGTCTGTCTGTCGGTTTGTTTGTTTGAGGAGGGACCCAAGATGACAGGGGTACATTACTGCAAGAGAAATAAGGGGAGCTAAAGGGCATATCTATGAGGATACATTTAATGGCACATAACAAAACCCAACCCAAACTGATTTAAGAAAAAAAAAAAAAATGGCGGCGGGGGTGTGGGGGGAGTACTTATCAGTACAGATCACTGAACAGCCTAGGAATAGATGTGGCTTCAGGTCCCAGTGTCTTCTTGGTTGTGCATCCTTAGTCACGGCCCCATTCTCGTGTGCTTTCCTCTCAAAGTTCAGGCAGCCTGCCAAGAATGTCTAGGACTCCAGCAGGCCTCCTTGCTCATTACCAAGAGAGAAAAGAATTGGTGGCCCCAAATTCTCAGCAAGAGTCTTCAGGTTCACTCTGGTCGGGATGCTTAGGTCACTGCCCGTTCTGGAACCAACGATCATGGCCATGGGAATGGGGGCGTAGAAGGGCTTAAGCCGGTCAATCCCACCCCTGGAGTCAATCATAACCATGTCATAGGACTGAGAACTCGGGAGAGCACATGCCAGAGGGAGCTCTGGCTGCTATCCCAGGAAAGCAGTAAAGGCAATAAAGGGAATTCACCCCCTGGTCTCAAATAAACCAGGACACAGGTCAAACTAAAGACTTTCAAGCACCTAGAGAGTGGTCAGCAGTGTGGGAGACAGGGCGGTGGGTTGAAGAGGGGGCAAGAGTTCTAGGAAGTAGAAGTCATGATCCTCACCTTCAGGAAATCTAATCACCAATTGAAAAAAAAAAAAAAAATAATGTCTATGAAAACAATACCTCCCTCCCAAATGACACCCTCCAGGGCAATAGAAGGCAGCAAATGATCAAGTCTAGAAAGTGTGGTGTCATTTAGAGAGCTGTGGGGCCCTAGGAGTCTGTCCCACCAGCTACATCATAATTGTATCTGGTTATGTTCCTCGACCACAAGGACACAAGGACTGTTACTGGCTTCCATTCAGAGGCCCTCGCTCACGCAACCCCCTTACCTCTGACATAGCCTTAACCGACCATGACCTCAGGGAGGGTGATACTTTATCACCAAACCCCAGCTTCCTTCCAATCCCCCCCAACCCCAGGAGAACCACCTTCCCTGGGGCTGTGCAGAATGTCGTCAGGCACTGAGACCCCACAGGAAAATTAACAGATTCTGGTAGGTACAGTTTCTCAAACGTTCATGTACAGAAAAGCCTCTGGGAAGATGGTTTAAAATGCAGATGCCAGGGCCCTTTCCTCATAGGTTCTTATTCTGTAAATCTGGGCCAGGGCCTAGGAACCTGCATTTTTTGTTTTTTGTTTTTAAAGATTTTACTTATTTGACAGAGAGAGACACAGCAAGAGAGGGAACACAAGCAGGGGGACTGGGAGAGGGAGAAACAGGCTTCCCGCGGGGCAGGGAGCCTGATGCGGGGCTCGATCCCAGGACCCTGGGATCATGACCTGAGCCGAAGGCAGAC